AAATAAAAAATAAATCTTAAAATAAAAATGACACCTTTATGCTTAAAGTAGTATGGAATTAATTATAAACTACCAATCACCCAGAATAATTGTCAGCAAGTGAAGATCTGGAGCTGTTTATTTAAAATAAATAGGTGATCTCTGTGATTTTCTGGAGAGAAGTCCTGCCTCACACATAACTCAACTAAAATGTTGACCCTTATGTGTGTTTTATTCTGTACCCTCAGTAGACATTCTAGAGTCTAATGGACCAAAAGGTATAAGTCTTGACCTAGACAATGACCTGTGGGTAAATGTTGGCATAATCTGTCTGGATGATACTTTTTCTGTCAATTAATAATATTTCCACCCTCTCCTGAATCTGTCAATCTATTGTTAATTTAAAGCTTCAAGTAAAACACAAAAATGTGAGTGAAATGTAAAATGGCTTATCTGGCTTTGCCCCCTACATGTATCACAATGGAAATCTAAGGGGAAAAAGCAACATAATGCACTGTTTTATAGATAAGGAAAACAAACACAGCAGAATCAGAAATGAAGCAGTCTTCAGTCTGATAGTGATCTGAATCTCAGTTAACTCCCGCTTTTTGATTGTTCTTATCTCCCAGCCAGCTGCACAAAGAGGAGTTGGGGGTGTGGCAGAGACACCCAGCCAGATCCTACTAGTGAGAAAGTGGCATGAGGTTTCCCAGTGCAGGGAGCTGAGCCTGTGAGAATGGAGAGGACCCTGATGTGCAGGCAGAGGGTGTGAGATCTGCTACTTTGACTTTATAAGGAGCCCCTTTCTTTAATGGTGTAGCACAGGTCAGCATGGTCACAACTAACATTTTGCTCATATCAGATTATGCTCTGAAATTTGCCTTATTAAATTTATATCAAATAAAAAAAAGGAGTGCAGTTAAAAAACCAGTGTTATGACTATGAAATGGCAATATTTCACATTTATAACTTTGGTCTGGTAATTACTGCAAGCAATTCTTTCCCCAGAGATGTGATATTTTTCATCAGTCATATCCTAGAGGGAACAGTAAACTAGAAACCTTCTTGTAAGTAAACATTAGCAAGAATTGTGCATGGAACAGCTTGCAGGTTATTCACCATCCAGAAGCTGCTGAACTCTGTCAAAGAAATCCTTCCCTCTACATTGTTGCATTTTAATTAAACAAAAACATATTGAAAGAACTAGCTTATGTCCTGATATAAGTTTCAGGTGTACAGCATTAGTTTGACATCCGTCTTTGCTCTGTTACGTACGAATGCCACCATAAGTCTAGTTTCCATTCACCATCACACCATTGACCAACACTACTCAGCTACAAGAAGAGAGATGAAATCTTGCCATTTGTGACAAGTTGGATAGGTTGACAGGGTATTATACTACATGAACTAAGTCTCATGGAGAAAAGCAAATGCCTTAGGACTTCACTTATATGTGGGAGATAAAGAGACAAAACTATACAAAAGCAAATTTTTAGGTTAAGACTGTCTTCATACAGGTCTCCCAGATTCCTCTTGCCTGTGACCCAGAATTATCTTGTTTACATGAAAATCTGACTTTTCACTGGCAGTTCTCCTCTGGTTTTCTTATCTTTTGAGGTGGAGACAATTTTTGCATTTAATTTACAGAGTTTGCAGGTGATACACTTGGCATGAATTATATTATTACAATAGCAGTAGAAAATTGCTTTCATTAATAACTATAAAATAGGGCCTCCTCGGTGGCGCAGCGGTTGAGCACTGGGTTGCGAAGCTGCCCGCGGCCTCTGCGGCGCCGGTTCGATCCCCGGCTGCTCCCCGGCCACCAGAGGAGGGTCCCACACGGTGTGCAGACCTCTCCTGCCGCCCGCTGCTCCCCTCAGCAGTGTACTTCGGTCCTTCTGCCTGCTCTGCATCCTGCTCTGGCTCTGGTGAATTCTCTCACCCTCCCGCGCTTCTGACTATACCCAGTGCATGTATAAACAAAACAAACAAAACTAAATAAATAAATAAATAAATAAATAAAAACATGCCTCTATTAAAAAAATTATTAAAAAAAAACTATAAAATAATATAAGTAATAATATAATAGCTACAAACAGTGATCATTTTCTTTCATTGAACTTTTTATATATAGTAATGTCAGCAAAGTTAAAAATGAAAAAAGAAATATTATAGTACAGAAAAGTAATAGATTCATAACTCTAATTATATCAATACAGTATTTGAAACAAGAGAAATCATGCATATCTATATATTGATGCCCTGCAATGATGAACAGCTGAATAACAATTAAATAGGAACAAAAAATCTTTTTTTTTTTTTAAAGAGCAAGCTTTATTTATTTATTTATTATTTATTTATACATACAAGCACTGGGTATAGTCAGAAGCGCGGGAGTTTGAGAGAATTTACCAGAGCCAGAGCGGGGAGCAGAGCAGGCAGAAGGACTGAAGTACACTGCTGAGGGGAGCAGCGGGCGGCAGGAGAGGTCTGCGCGCCATGTGGGACCCTCCTCTAGTGGCCAGGGAGCAGCCGGGGATTGAACCGGCGCTGCAGAGGCTGCGGGCAGCTTTGCAACCCAGCGCTCAACCGTTGCGCCTCCGGGAGGCTGGGAACAAAAAAATCTTAATTCAAGGATGTTATTCAAATTTAGTCAAATACTTCATGGGTGAGCTACGATTCATTCTTACCAGGCAAAAATTTTATTTTGCATTCTGTACTGTTTGATTGCTTTAAATGTTAAGTTAAATAAAACATCAAGTGACCCTATAAAATGACATAATGGAAGCCACTCAAAATCACATTAACCAGCAATGACATGATTTAAAACAGCAAATAAAATAGTATTTTAACACTGACATTATTTTTAATAGCTAAGTCATGGTAATAAAGTCTGTTTTAAAATAGTTGTAAAATACTTTATAGATAATGCATCTCTTTCCTGCCTATAGCAAGGGGAAGGCTGAACCCACTATTTTACTCATCGTATGCAGTGAATGGAGATCCTGAGAAGGTTAAATGGACCAATAGTTAAGGTCTTTGAAGAGGACCTCACAGCTGGTAAATGCCCCATAAATATTATTATTATTAAAAATTATAACACCTCCTATATTATATTTACTATGTAAACAATAATGCAAAGTGTGATCTTATTAACATGTTTAAGACCACACATAGGCTGGTGATATGGTTTGTCTTTCACTTAAAAGAGTGAAGGAAAAACTTCAGTTGCTCAGAAATTTCATTCTTAATGAAATATATCATTCGTCACTGCCAGATCTCCTGTTAATTTCTCCCTGGTAAATAAACACTCTCCCTGTTTTACCTCTAGAGGACCCCCCCCCACCATTCATCAAGGCCTAGATTAATCGTTGACTCCTTTGAAACCTCATCATCTTTATTAAATCTTTTGCTCAGAAAGAAGATCCACCATCTATTGATGCAATTAACCATTTGTCCATCCATCTATCCACTTGTTTCTTCAACACCTTGGTTATGTTTGATATGCTTGATATTTTCACAGTGATCTTCAAGAAATAAAGAGTGACTAAAACCACAAATTGCTAAAATTACATCTTATATCAGTTAAAATCTGCAGGAGAAAAGAGAGATGTTGGTATCACAAACATGATTTTTAAATGTTATCCTCAGCTGTTAGAATAGAGTGCTTTCAAATACCTAGGAGAATCATTTAAACTATCTTCGGAGGTCAAATAACATTTCCTGGAGTATGTCAGAGCCATCTAAATGGAGAGCTGGAGAGTAAGATTTGTCCAAGCAGAAAGGGGCAATAAAATGGGAAGAGTGAGGAAAAATGTCCCAGAATAAAGAATAGCATGAATTATGGCTTGCAGGAAAAAAAAAAAATACAAAGGTCATTTAAAGAAGTTCCACATTTGTAAGCGTGAAAGATTGAGAATAGTCCATGAACTCTGGAGAGATAATCCACGGCCAGATAATTAGAAGTCCTTTCAGATTCCTTTTAGTAGTTTGGTTATAAATAAGGGTGCTGAGGAATTTCAGTAACAGAAAAGTTACTGAATTTGAAGTAATTGTAGAGGTCGTGGAGCGGAGAGTAAAAAGATGAGATAAGGAAGGCTGCTTTGGTTGTAGTTGGGATTTGATCCTGACATGATGCTTCTCCTAAAAGAATTCATTGAGGCTGGTTCTCAAGATTTAGGTGGTGCAGTCAGCAAAACCTGATGACTGGGTATTGGTTGCTGAAGACAGGAAGGAACCTACATGCTTTCCGAGTTGACCTCAAAGTTAAAAGATAAGAGCAACTGATAAGAGGCATGAAACCAAACCTATGGCACTGATAGAGGCAGAGTAGAAAATTTAGGAGGGAGGCATCACAAGACCAGAAAATGGAGGTAGGGTGAGAAATGATTAGCAAGACATTAAACAAGCTGTAGAAATGAAAATCCTTAGGAGTCAGCTACTGCAACAGCAAGTATCAGATGCTGTAAAAAGTATCTGGAGTAATCAGATGTTGTAACGAGTAAGCAAATAAGCCAGAAAGAAAAACAAAAACACTGGATGGTCTCACTCATAGCAGGAATTTAGAAAACCTAAATAAGGAACCTGGAAAAAGATGGATTATAATAAAGTAAAAATCAAAATCCACAAGCAACTATAAACCAGAGACTTACGGGGGTGGGGGTGGGGTGGGAGTGAGGAGGGAGTAGGATCAAAACGAGGGGGGGTTGGGAATTGTATGGGGAATATAACCAAGATAAAAAGCATGCATTGTGCAAAATGAAAAATTATGTAAAAATATATAAAATAAAATAAAATTGAAAAAAAAAAACTTAAATAAAAAGTATCCTGAGGCGCAGACCAGAGGAGGGGAAGGGAGGCTGAGCAGAGCCCTTGTGGAGAATCACTGGTCCTTTCAAATGAACCTAGTCACACCCTAGAAGCAATTAACTTAACAATGGATAACAATTCCACAAGAGGGTGAACCCTTCCCCCCAAGAAGATCACTGCATTCAGTGCAAATTCTGCCCTGGCAAGATGCAGCTCTTTTCCTGAGTCTGCCCACCTGTGTCTATGCAGGCGTCTCTTAATAAACCAGTTCCTTCCAGGGCAGCTCTCCTCTCCACCTATGACAATGGAGGTCCCTCTCATTTTCTTTCTCTATTTCCCTACAAACCTGCCCTTTTGGATATTCTCTGCCTCACGGGGAAATTTGCTGTGTGCTGCTGAAAGGGGAGCTCTGGTGAGACTTTTCTCAGGTAACCCAAGGACCTGCTCTCACCAGCATCAGTCACACGAAGCAATCCTGCTGTCGAGCTTTCGAGGAAGGAGGCTGGGCTGCATTTTGAGCCTTTTCAGTGTGAGGAGACTGTGGGACATTAAAATGGAGGCAAAGTTCCCTTGGAAATAATAAGCCGGGAGAGAAACTGGCTGAGCGCGGAGCCGTGGGTCCTAACAAGGAAAGACAGAAGAAGAGGAGGCAGCAAAGGAGTCAGAAAGAGTGGACAAGAGGTAAAGGGAATTCGGGAGAGGATGGAGCTGGGGATGCTATTTTGCCATTTAGTTCTCGTGATAGCTCTACATCAACCCACCTGTCTCCTTTGGGACAAGAATGGGGTAAGACTCATGCCTTTGTAGTCTTGACTTTAGCATATATTTAAAGAGAAAAAATATACATATTATATATAATATATGATTATATACTATTATATACTATTATATATTATATAATACTAGTGCTAAATAATAGATGGTTTCCTACTCTGTTATTTTTCTAAAGCAGTAAGACATGGACATAACCAGGATGGGTGAAGTCAGATACGGCCAGGAAGAATCCATGTCAGTCATAATGAGATGATGTCTTGATTCCAAGACATCTGGTCAAATGAAAGAAAACATGTCAACTAAGTTGGAAACCAGAGACCATAGGGAAAATATTGTAATAAGAGTCTTGTCGGAAAGAGTGTCCAATCAGCTTAGGCAGGAGATATGTGCCAGGATAGAATGATTTATGTGGAAATTTTGAAAACTTAATCCACACCCTTTTGAAAATTGAGGATCATGGAATACTATGTGGTTAGATGTCCAAAGTCAAAGGGCCTCATTTACTATTCTCAGTAGAATATCAAGCAGGTAGTGAAGAGATGAGAACATCCCTCCCAGAAAAAGCAACATCAAGGCCAAAACTTCTCATAAAAGTGGAATGCACTTGGAAGTAAGCTTGATACCTAATTTATAGGCAATTGTGTGTAATGGATAGAAGACACATTTTGGAGTCCTAATAAATTGGTTTTGAATTGCAATAAAGGCAAATACATGTGATAAGCCCTTGAGTAAGGTTTTTAAACTTGCAGCATCTCTGCTTAATTGTGAAATTGACTTAATATTTCCTAATCTGTCAGGTTCTGAGAATCAAATGATTAAATGTATATTAAGTGCTTTGGTAGTACTGGAATATTAAGTGCTCAAAACAAAACATGATTTTTCTGACTTATGACCATGACTTTTTAAAAGATACTGGATAGTATCAATTACCACCTACAGTGTAAGAGAGTTCCTTTCTCTACACATCACACACAGCAATGTTTGTTGTTTCTGGACTTTGTGACATGGGTCATTTTCACAAGTATATCGTGATAACTCATCATGGTTTGATGTGCATTTCCCTGCTGATAAGTGATGGTGAGATTTTTTTTTCATGTGTCTGTGGTTTTCTATGTATCTTCTATGGAAAAGTGCTTATTCAGTTCTTCAGCCCATTTTTTTTTTTGATTGGGTTATTTGATTTCATATTGTTGAATTGTATGAGCTCTTCATAAATCTTGGATGTGAACCCCTTCTTGGATGTACAGTGTGGAAATATTATTGTCTCCTCTCAGTAGTATATCTTTTCATTTTAATGGCAGTTCATTTGCTATACAGAATTTTTTAGCTTGATAAAGTCCCATTTATTTGTTTTCGCTTTTGTTTCCCTTGCCATTGGAATCAAGTCATCAAAGACATCACTGAAGGTAATGGGATGTGTTGCCTGTATTTTTAAAATGTATTTTATGATTTCAGGTTTTATAGTCAAATCTTTAATCCATTTTGAATCAGTTTTTGTGAAAGGTATGAGATAGTTTCTTCTAAGTAATTTTGTTTTGAGTTTACCATGAGCTTTACATATAGGCTTCTATGCTTATAACCCATTTAAAATTGAAAACAAGCTAATCTCAAGTTCATTCTAATAAATCCCAATTTTAATCTCCCTTCATAGTTTATGCTTTTGGTGTTGCTTTGATTCTAAGTAGGATCTCTTTTCTTTTATAAAATTCCCTTTGGAATTTCTTGCAAGTCTGGTTTGGAAGAGGTGAATTCTTTTAACTGCTGTTTATCTGAAAAATTTTTGATCACAGTTTCAATTCTGAGTTGTAAAGGGCAGGACTGGACACAGTGCAGGTTTTCTGATTCCATGCAGACCGGGTAAAGTAGGAGTCAGAGTCCTCAGTGGTTTTTTGCAGGTCTTTTATTGGGGTTCACCAGGCATATGGCAGGCAGGGGTGCTGGCTGGGGGGCTGGGAGGCCCCAGCAAGACTTGCCCCAGCAAGTCTTCACTCTATCTGGGCTCTCCGGTGCTCGTTCTTTCGGCTTCTGCTTTGGCTGCTGCTGCTGGCGTCCCCGTGACGCCGCCCTTAAAAGCACAGTCTTAGCCCAGGTGAATCCCATCTACCTAGGCCCACACCCTACTCCAGGTGCCCGCCATCAGGCATGCATTCAGGACAAGGATCCATCATCTATCCTGATGGCGGAAGGGCAGAAAAGCCTGACATTTTCTTTACCCTACAGAGTGATAACCAGACTCTGCACAGTATTCTTTGGAAGTCTTTTCCGTTCAGTACTATGAATACACCATGCCATTCCCTTCAGGCTTGTAAGTTTTCTAATGAAAAATTTGATACTTTCATTATTATTCTCTTATATGTGACTTTGATTTTTTACTAGTGGATTTTAGGATTCTCTAGCTACAATTTTTGACATTTAATTTAACTAATTAATTTGTGTCTTTAATTTAATTTAATTAATATGTCTTGCATTCATCTGTTTGGGTTTATTTTATTTGGAACTTTTTGAGCTTCCTGAATCTGAATATCTGTTTCCTTCCGCAGTTTGGAGATATTCTCAATTATGTATTTCTTCACATAAGATTTCTGTCCCTTTCTCTTTCTCTTCTAGATCCCCTGTGATGTCAGTGCTGTTCCTCTTGTTGCTGTCCTACAAATCTCTTATGCTCTTTTTAAAATTATTTTTTCCTTTTGCTGGTCTTTCAATTCAGTGAGTCACTCCTTGCTTTATCAAGTCTGCTGTTGAGTCTTCATAGTATTTTTTTTAAATTCAGCTATCGTATTTTTTTAGAACTTGGTTATGTTTTCTCTGATTTTCGTGTCGTTCTCATTTTGTCCATCCATTGTTCTCATTTCAGAGGGTGTCAATATTGCTGCTTTGAGACCTTCTTACAGTAGCTTACTGAGCTCTGCTGCATTAACCCCACCCTACCCACAGAGTTTTGCCTTGATCCATTGATTGAGGTGAATCCCTCTACATACCCGCACCCTTTGGTGCTTGATATTTGTTTCTAGGGATAATGCTAGAGATATTTCTTACCCCTCCTCCCCCCATGTAATGATCTATGTTAGGACTGAAGGTCACAGGGAATTGGTCTAGGATGTGGCCTTGGATTGCTGTACTTTCTGTTGCTTTATATATACACTGAAGCCTAATTACGATCAGGATATTGGAGCTGAAGAACCCACACAGAGTAGTGGCCCAAGAACCCAGCCTGGAAGAGGGCTGGGGTGTTGGGGAGAGAGGTGACTCCTGTAAAATGTAAAGAGCATAGTCCTTCCTGAGTGCTGTAGCCACTTGAGCTGATGGAAGTATTGTAATTACTGTCAACGCAAGGCAGGCTCCTCTGCAGAACCTTTCCAGAAGACTCAGGCTGCAACATAGCCCTCAGCTGAGCTGACTTGCTTTCAGCAGGTGTTGCAGGCAGTTTTTTCCCTAAGGCTCAGACTAGAGTGAAGTGGCTAAGGGTGAGGGGGCTCTGGATATGGGCTACAGGTAGGTACCACAGGTGGCAACAGTCTTAATGTCAGAGGGGCTTTCGAAGCCTAAGCAGGGGAGGGGGTGGGGTTATGAAGGCCCTCAAGAACTGGCTGAAAACAAGCCCCAGGCAGGATCTGCTCACTTCCACCACGTTCCACAGACAGACTTCCCTGGAGACCCGGCTTCCCTGGAGACCTGGTTCCTGCTGTTGCTGTGGGTGAGTGAGCGCCAGGAAATTGGGAAGCTCAGGGAGGGGAAGGTTAGTTGTTTTCCTGGGGACTGAAGGTGCTGGCAATGGGAGAACTCCAGAAGCGAGATGAGTTGCTCATTGCTACCCACACATTCTATGAAGTTTTCCCTAGAAGTTCATGTATCGGCAATTACTGTGGGCTGGTGTGGCCTGGTAGACTCAAGGACTTACTGGAAGTGGTGTAAACCCCTGATAGAAGAAAGAAAGGGACATTTACCCTCCAACTCTGGCTCAATATTTGATTTCAGTCAATGTGGTACCTCCCCATCCTGATGCAACACAGGCAAAGGAGGGTACAGACAAGGTGTGTAGTAGTCTCTGTTTAAGGATGAACCTTATCTCCCTCTCACCCCTCATGCTGAGATTCTAATATTTAAAAATGTACATTCTTTAGTTTGGTCTTTGTACCTTCACCAATCTCTGCTCCTCCAAGTCATACTGTTTTTCAGAGGAAGGTTCCTCCATTTTCCACATTGGATGAATGCACCCCTTTCTCCCATGAGGTTCCATGTTCCAGAGCAACTTCGGTGTGAGTGAGCCCTTCGGTCCCCCACAGGGAGGCTCCCTTCTCTTGACTCTAGTGCCCAGTGCCCCAATATTGTTCCTAATGGACTGTGTCTCAGGCCTTCCTACCCTTCCTTGTGGAAACATTGATCCTCAAATCCTCAGCTATTTTTCAAAGACTGCTTCCTGCATCGATACGGTTTGTGTTATACCTGTGGGGAGAGGCAATTCAACGATCCTGCGGGCCGCCATCTTCCGATCTGTCCAATAATCAGAATTTTGGAGATTAAGGAGGTCCTTGAGACTAGAAGCGTACAGGGAATCCAAAGTCACAGTGGGAATAGGATAGAAATCGTACCTGTGGGAATTTGTGGTCGACAGTTCTCAGAAATATTACAAATCTTTAACGACTGATACATCACCAAATTAGATGTCAGATACACTGTAAGGGATTACATCTTGGAGAGTTTATTTTTTTTTACCAGAACATGGTGTGTAGAACCAAAGGTGTTTCCCAGTAAAGGGATTAGGATGATTGGGGGCTAAAGATATAGGGATATATTAATATTTGTGTGTTCATCTTGGGTTTACCTTCTTTAGTGTTCATGATAAAGCAAGCCAGAGTGTTTTTGAGGATGCAGCCTGATATAAGTAGGAAATTGGTCATAGAATCTTT